AGCACAGAGGACCAATCTCCGTGGGCTTTGCAGGGAGGTAAGTAAGCACGAATGCTGTTTTTCCAAAAGAAAGACACTGGCGTTATACTTACTAGTGGGTGCTGCTGGGCATGCTTCTGTTTGATTTTTTCTCCTTTCAGCGGCAGAGGGAGGTAGAGAGTAAATAATGATATGGGTTGAGCCCCACATGAACAGACACACATTAAAAGGCTCACAAAATTCAGGATATTTATCACACGAAATAGGAATTTGGAAAATCTCAGGAGCAGACAGGCAGCCCTCTGAAGTCATTGGTACTCAGAAGGCAGGATGAACATGGGGTGAAGAGAGGTTTTTATTTTTAAAAAACCAAGGCTACCTACGTATGTTAAAAAACAACTCTTGTACTGACCCCTCTTTGGCATGTAGATAGACGATCTTATGTAAGTACGAACTTGAGTGTGAGGCCTGCCCGTGCGTCCTTTGGATAAATTGCTTTTCTCTAGACCTGAGATGAGTGGCACCGAGAACACCAGGTGGAAGCAGAAACCAGAACAAAAGCTGCAGTCGTGGAGAACGGACCCTTCCTTCAACAGCAGGGTCAGCCTCTCCCATCCTCAAGTTCCTCAACAGGATGAAACGCCATTTTTCAAATGTGGATGTGAATGCTGAAGTCCACAGTCGCGATTATTGGCATGGGGAGAGGGGCGTGTCACTGCCCTGCACACTGTTACATAAAACTCCCGAGTCTCAAAGAATGGAGAAGTTCCCAAAGGCACTGACTTTATTGCCTCAATTACTGCCCATTCCTAAGACACTTAAAGATGAGGGAAAGCCTTTCTTGAACGACTGTATTTTTAGAGAATATGGTCAGAGAACAATGAGGGTTATTTTCCTTCATAAACTGGTTCTATGTGTGAGATCACATTTTCTTTCCAAAAGGTCAAACTATGATGTACATTTCACCCAATACAGGCAGTCCCCGAATTACAATCTGACTTATGTACAACTCACACTTAGGAGTCGTGCAGGAAGTCCCTGAGTTACAAACACCGACTGGCAGGCGACTCACACTGAAGAACAGAAGCTGTTACAGGTTATAGGTAAAAGGCACCTGCTCCAACTTACACAATCAACTTATGAATGACGTATATTCTGTAAGCTCATTCTTAACCCAGGGGACTGCCTGTACTTTAATTTTTCTCCCATTACTAAACCTTCTCACAGTCTTCCCTTCTTTAGCTTTTGTTTATCTGGTCAGTTATTCAGTGTTAGTATTTAACTAACAGTAAATGGAGGAACAAACACCGGGAACCAGGGAGGGAGAGACGAGCCGGTGTGTGAGTATCTGTCCCTGAATAATTCCAAGGAGGAACACTTTTGGATAGATTGGCCTGTCTTGAGAGATTCACACTGGCCCCCACCCACCGGTTTGTTCTAGAATCAGTCCAGCTCTTTTCAGGCGCTTGGTATTTTGTGACCATGGAAACATGTTTTGAAAACTCATACTACCATTATGAGATTTACATGTAAATCTAAAATCTATCATTTGGAGAATAGCATATAAACAGCACAAGGAAAACACAGGAAGAGGAGGGGAATCGCTTCTGGATCCTGGGCAATGAATGTAGGTAAAATTTTTTAAAGAGTCAACTTCTTCCAGCATTTAACGTTTTTATTTGCCATTTATTATAAAAATTGAATCTTTGTTTTACACAAAAGTTACTTTAAAAACAGTAAAGTTTACCAAAAGCTACTGAATCTGAGGCAAAGGGATTTACCACCAAAATGCAGATTTACATGGTAAACCTGAGGGCCCCAAACATAAAATTCGTAAATAATTCATTACCAGAAGCAGAAAATAATTGTACATGTTCCAAATATGTGACAAAGATAAATACCAAATGCTGGCCTTTGCTGTGAGCTAACAGAGGAGTATGTCTCCACGTAAGATTGGCCCATTATTTCACTGACAGTGAAATATTTGAAGAATTTAAAAAATCTTATAAACGTTAATATTGAGGCTCATACACGACATATATATGCACAGAGACATCCATTCTAACTCTACACCCCTTTTATTTTGAAATTGCACCATCTCTGTTAGAGATAATGTATAACATGCAAAAGGCATTCAATTATTTTTCTCAACAGTCGTATATTATACAAGTCAAATGCAAAGTTAAATATGGAGTTAAGTTCAATTGAAAGCCATCTCAACTCAGTACTTTGGCTCACATGTTCTATAATAATGCTTTAATGCCGACAAAATCCGAAGAGAATATAGTCCATTATCAAAGGTACTCTGTAGATAGCTCCCAGTGGATATAGAACTGACGGACAAGAAACAATTAAATAGGATGGCGCTGTTTTCCCTGCCTCAATTTTTCATATCCAGCTGGAGATAATAATGATATCCAGGTCAAAATCACTTTACAACAAAGATATTTGCACCAGATTGTTCACTGAAGCTCAATTCATAATTGCCAAGTCATGGAAGAAGTCCGAATGCCCACTGATCCATGAATGGATTCATAAATTGTGGTATATGTATGCCATGGAATATTGTGCAGCCTTAAAAAAGATGTGGACTTTACCTCTTTATGTTTATATGGATGGAGCTGGAACATAATTCTTCTTAGTAAAGTATCTCAAGAATGGAAGAAAAAGTATCCAACATACTCAGTACTATTATAAAACCTATTTATAATCTCTGACATTTTCATAAGAAAGATAAATCACAACTATAGCCCAAGATGGAGGAGGGAGAGGGGAAAGGAGGGGGTAGATTCGGTGGAAGGAGGGTAAAGGGTGGGACCATTCCTATGGTTCATATTGCAAGGGTACACACATCAAATCTATTGAGTATAGAGTATAAATGTCTTAACACAATAAGTAAATGAGGTGAAGGCTATATTAACTAGTTTGATGTAAGCATTCCTCATTGTATATAAAATCAGCACAATGTACTCCATAAAGGCATCAGTCTATGTGTTTATGACTTAATAAAAAAATAATAATTATTTCCAGGGCATTTTGGAACAATTATTAGTTCATATCATTTCATATATATAATGTCTTCATAATATATCTCAGTATGCAAAATAACTCCTCCCCTCTTCTACCAGTCTTTCTCATTTCTAGAAAGGAAGAAACACAGTTGATGAAAACGAAGTGGACCTACAGATATATTCTCATACTTTTGGTGGAGATGAGGGTCTAAATATTGCAGGGATAGGTGAAGGTGAACTACTGAGTTCAGGCACTGGCTTCCCCTCAATACACACATGCTCAGGTATCACTGCAAATCCTCTAGCACAAACCTATTGTTACTATACAAGTGCTGGTGGGAAGAAGGAAAACAAAATACCTTATGTGGATAGGATGATGCCATGTGAATGGAAAGATGGAAAGAATATTTTATTGAAAACACAAGAAAATAATGTTAAGTCCACAGAATGATTGTTTGATTATTTTAATGGTTTCTGAACCCATCAATATAATCCAATATTTTAATTAAACACAAAATTTGAATCATGAAACACTTGAAAAACAGACAAAAATTCACTATTAAGTAATAATGCAAACAAATCACTGCAGCGCATCCCAGCACACCCACTGGAGCGATGGCATAGCACTGAGATCCCGAGGACCTCTATTTACCCTGTTGAACACAAATGTTTGTTAAGTGACAGTGAAAGATGGAGACATACAGTGGGAGAAATTAAGACTGAGGATAGAATGAAAATACAGTACCTACGTGCCATGCGGAGATACCCTGATTTAGGTTAGGGAAAGAACATTACACTTTCATAGGAATGCTCAAAAACAGGTTTTCAAACCAATGTTAAGCATTTGGTTTTCTTTTAAATGTCATAACTAAGGTAATAGAATACCCCATGATTATAAATAATGAATAAAAAAAATCATTATCCTAGTATTAACCTCTAACCTCTTATAGTTTCGAAAAGCACACAAAACATAAAAACCCAATCCATTAACTATTTGCATATGTGAGCATTGGTATGTGTCTATGTGTGCATGTGTGTGTGATGTACGTGGGTGAACCCATGCCATTCCCAGCACAAGCCATAGACTTTGCTCTGAATAAGCTCCATTGTTTATTTTTTGGAAAATGGACAGACATTCTTGAAAATCAAATTCCAACTAACAACTCACGATGATAATTTTATGAACATTATTTTCATTGAAATGAGTATTACTGCTCCAACTGCAGTAAAGATAGTATTGGTACCGCATTTAGTATGTCAAGTGGTGGTTTCATTGTTCTTCATGTCTGTGCTATGTTGTTTAAAAAGCTATAGAAACACTGGTGTAAAAGATTTAAATAAAAAAATTTAAAAACAATGGCATCAAGAGCAACATAATTTGCACCAGTAATTATGCCTTAGTGTGTAGAAAGCAGCTGGCAATATTCATTATTAATCCTGCTAGTAAATTGCCCCTTGAAATGTACATAGGTCATAAGCAAAATTTAGTCAATGATTTTGCAATTGAACTGAATCATGGAGAACAAGGCATGGACAAGGTCTAGTTTGTCAGGTGAATGGTAGCCAATCTGATTTTTGTTTCGAAAATTCTTCCTATAAAAGAGGGTAGGATTTTTCATATAAATTCTGCCTAATTATGTGGGCAAAAATATTCAAACACCTCTCCATGTATCATATTGTTGTCCAAAATTTAATCCCATAAAACACTGGAATTAGAACACATGACAATTCTACTGTGAAAAACTAAAATAACCATCAGCTTACATTTAAAAAAAATGAAAATAACAAAAAACCATGGATATAATCAGAATCTATTTCCTGAAGTCCTAGGAGAAAATGTCATCAGTTATGCCTGGTTCCCTGAGAACTTGAATGTTCTGTCTAAAAGGCAAGTTTTGGTAAGAAGTATATTTTACACCGTTTATTTCCCATTCAGAATAAATAATACTTTGTTAGGTAGCTTTTGGTGTTCCATATTCTTTATAGCTAATATTATTTAAATTTCATTTGATGTGAAATGAATATTATAGGTAATATTATTCGAATGGTATTTGATGTAAATAATTCTTTTCTCTGAACTTCAGGCCAGAGGTGCTAGTCGGTGAGGGAAGTTATATCTGCTATACTTTAAAGACTCATTTTCATCTTTCTGGAACACAGCAAGAAAAAACATATACCATACACTGCAATTCCATACACACGGCACTCTTTCCCCATAGTGTTTTCCAGTTTTGTGTAGGTACAGTTAATAGATTTCTTCCTAGTTACACCCCAAATGAGGAGGTGGCATAATGCCTTAGACCCATTAGAGAAAAACATACTGAAAGTGTACACTTACCAAAAAATGAATCCATTTCATTCACTTAACAATATGAGTGATAATATTAAATAAAAGGCCAAACACAAAGCTCTTTATAAGAAGGAGCAAATACATATTCCAGAAAGTTAGATAAAGGCGTGATAGAGTTTCAGTTAAATAGATCTCTTTCTTTGTGAGTGCTGAGAACTCAAGACACAGAATAGTGGCTGAGGGTTCTGCATTATAATTCACAGCTAGAGATTATGCAGATGGGGAAAAATGCATTTTGCTTTAACTCTTACTAAATTTCTACGAAGTGTTTTAAAATCCACTTAAAAATCAAGCCTGTACCTCTCCCTTCCATCACAGTTTTTATAAGTAATGAAGAATTTTACCCGTACGACTGCACAGCGGCTAGGCAAGAGAGAGGTCAATGACTTGGCTAACCCTCTCCCAAGGAAACCCCCAAATACTTGAGGGCGCAAGGTTTTTGTTATCCAAAAGTAATTAGCTGCAGAGTACAAAAACATTTTGGAGCAGAATGCACACAAATATAAGGATCATAAATAATCAAAACTAAGTACACTGAAGTTCTTAAGGAAATGTGCACATTCCATGGACCTCACAAAAAATCATTCTCCACAGATGTAGAATCCAAGATTATGCCATAGAAATGATTTGTATGTTTTACACTAGAATAGAAAACATTCTTAATTTTAAAAAAGGCTCTGATGATAGATGAGAAGGTATTTTAAAGAATACATTAATTTTCAGGATGCCCCTAACACATCTTAAGTGCCCTCTGCTCCAGTTCTAGGCAAACACCAAGGGCAGCCAGACATTTTCTCAGGGTTCATCACTGGAAAGAGGAAACCGAATTGAGAAAAACTCAAGCAAGCTGGGAAAGGAAGTAAAAATGAGGCCGAATGGGAATTCTGCCAAGCACAATACACTCTGTTTAAAACAAGTTAAGAACTTAAGTCAAAGACGGTGGTAAGTATAAGAAAATTTATATTGATGAGTTTATGGTCTTGGTGCTAAATATAAAAAAAAAAAACAAACAGGAAGTCAGTTAAAATGAGTGTGCAAATAATAGACCCTGGGGGAGGAAGAGGAGAAAATATATACACGGTCTTCAAGGTAAAAACTGCAAGGTAGGAATTCAGTATTTGCATAACCCCTTTTCCACCCTCAGAGTGGACAACATCTTACAACATCTCAATAAGTTAAAGACCAATGTTGCACAAAATGTCAGGTTAGTGTTAACATTCATTACCTGTTTGAATTTAGGGCTAGACATTTTGTTATAGCTCATCATAATCAGCACTCATTTCTCATCTCTAACTTCGAAAAATTCACCTCTCATTTAAAGCCCTGGAACGTCCTTTTACGATTGATTTTGAGACATGGTTCTCTTCTCCTTGGGTCAACATTTGTCTAAGCACGTCTGCAAACGTTCTGTTACAGGGTTTGGAAGAGTATTGAGCAAATTCTCCTCAACGATCAGACAGCTTCGTTTTAGGGACTGACACCCTTCCAGTTCGGGAGGAAGTGTTTCCAGGTAATTACCAACGAGCTCCAGATAGGTAAGGTTCAACAGCTCGCCCACGAGAGGAGACAAATTCATCAAGCTATTTTTCCCCAAAAGTAAACATTGCAGCTTTTTGCACTGAAACAGCCCATCTGGCAACACCTCGATCTGGAAAGAGGAAGAAGAAAAAGCCAGTAATACATTACTTATTCATACTGCTAGTCACCTTTTTTCAAAAACATTTCTGGAGGTTTATAAGGAAGGGAGAAATATGGTAGGAATATCTCATAGAAGTCAGGCTGGAAGCCACCCTGAACACCTAAACCCTTGCTACATAAGGGCAACACATTTGGCTTAAAAGGCTCTAACATGCAATTAATTCTTTTTTTTTTGGAGACAGAGCCTCAGGCTGTCCCCCTGGGTAGAGTGCTGTGGCATCACAGCTCACAGCAACCTCTAACTCCTGGGCTCAAGTGATTCTCTTGCCTCTGCCTCCCAAGTAGCTGGAACTACAGGTGCCCACCACAACGCCCAGCTATTTTTTGATTGCAGCCATCATTGTTGTTTGGCGGGCCCGGGCTGGATTCAAACCTGCCAGCTCAGGTGTATGTCTTGTGCCTTAGCCACTTGAGCCACAGGTGCCGAGCCCATGCAATTAGTTTTTAAAGAAAACATATTTAACATACTCATTGATAAAAAACAAAGCAATAATTCAGGAGAACCATAATTATTCTTGAGTTCTGGATCAGAAATAAATTACTCTCAGGAGTCCTCATAAAGAGCTTACTGTGTACTGTAATGAGCCACATCCTTAAAAATATCCTGAGAATAGTCACAAGGCTGTTACACTGTTTCTTGGGATGGAAAACATTATCCTGTTTCTGAAAAAATGTCTACCAAAGAAGAGACAAAAAGATATGATCATACAAACAGGGACATTTCATGCTCCTGCATATGCGTACACCTGAGGAGTGACCCTTCTTTCTGCTTCCTGGTATGGTTTCAGTTAAATTATTCATGTAACAGATAATTTTCAATCAGATAAATAAACTGCAAATTAGGATCATTTCTAAAGCTATTCAACTGTATCCCTAGATGGTGGAGAGGTTACAGGTGACTTCCTAAGCAAGCCGTAGTGCATATATGAAACAGGGCGAGAGAGGTTGAGCACATACAATAGCTTCAACTCATCACTCCACTGAAGGTAAGTTTGGGCCAAACACAGTTGGACTCCATATACCCCACTCTGTCATACTCTACATAGCGGGGACAGGAGGCATCTATGAAACAACAAAATAACACAGGCTCCCCAGTTCACTGGCTCAGCCTACATCCCTGATGGGCCAATGCAGACCTGATGGGAAATGAGCTTCCAGGGCCATCCAGAATTGTCTTTCCTCAAAATGATAAGTACTTTTTATATAAACTAAAAAATGACCAAACTGGCTCAGCGGCTATATCTCAGCAGCCAGGGTGACAGCCACATACAGTAGGGCTGGTGGGTCTGAACCCAGCCCGGGCCTGCCAAACAACAATGACAACTACAACCAAAAAATAGCCGGGCACTGTGGTGGGTGCCTGTAGTCCCAGCTACTTGGGAGGCTGAGGCAAAAGAATTGATTAAGCCCAAGAGTTGAAGGTTGCTGTGAGCTGTGATGCCATAGCACTCTACCCAGGGCAACAGCTTGAGACTGTCTCAAAAAAAAATGTCCAAACTGCATTTAAAAGTGCTTGTGATGTTGGAAACTGCTCTCTCCTATGTCACCCCCTCCAACATCACGAGTGTTTTTAAATGCAGTTTGGACATTTTTTTTTTTTTTTGAGATAGTCTCAGTGAAAGTGAATCTATCAGTCACCAAGGCTAAGATAGCAATATGGATCATCACTGCACGTCATGATACTAGGTATATGCAAAGGAAAAATGCCTACCCTTTAATTTCATCCATTCTGAGAGCAGATGCAAACCCATACATACGTAGACTTCAATACAGAGTGGACATAGAGTTTGTGTGCAGTTTAAAATCGCTTACTATAGTAAATTGCACACGAACTTTATGTCCACCCTGTAAAAGGATGAGGCAGAGAGGTACTAGAGAGAAGAAATGCAACCCCTCTCTAAAGCAGGCCTTCTGCTCCGAGGTATCTACAGCTCAGCGGCAGGGTCAGTGGTGGCCAGGTTGAGGGAAGAATCAGTCCCTGCAGCGTGTTCAGTGTTGAGAGTGCCTGTTGGTGACTTCACAGCGACTTAAGCAAACTGGCTGTAAATGCAGCAGGCTTGGTCATTTGTGTTTAGAAAACATGTGCTGAGTGCCTCCTGATGGGCCAGGTTCCCTGCTAGGTGCTGGGAATCAAGTGCTGAGTGGAACAGATGTCCTTCCAGAACTTCAGTCTACTGCAGGCTACGTTAACTATTCCAGCCTTGGAACTGTTGACACTTTGGGTGAGAAAACTGTGCGTTGTTGGATGGTCAGGAGCATCCCTGGCCTCTACTGCCAGCTGCCAGTGCCACTCCTCCTCCCAGTTGTGACAACCAAAATAGGCTCTAGACAAATGTCCCACAGGGCAAAATCACTCTCAGATGAGAAGCACTGGTCTAAGAGAAGTGAGAAATAATAGACATTTACATAATTATGTCTGTGATGGGTACTAAGAAGAAGAGTCCCTGGCCTGAGCTGCACCAGGGAATCTCATGCCCCCTTCTGTCTTTGATGTCACAGTCACAGCTCACTCACTTACCTTGCTTCACTGGACCAACTTCCTGCTGGGCAATTACCCTGAAGGCCTGGCCCTCACTCTCCCGTCTGGCCTTCAGCACTACTGGGTTCCCACCAGTCCTCTCTCAAATCTTGAAATTTGTGACTTTAGTAAACTTTTTAGCCCCCAAGAGAGAAAAGAGATTTCTGAAGTCAATGGGAGTGAGTCCCTGGGGCAGCCCTCACCCTTCTGCTGTGAGAATGTGACAAGGGCTGCAGCTGGCAGTCACCCTTCCCAGGTGCCAACTGTCCATGTCAGGGCCTTTCTCCCCACGTCACTGCCCAGCTAACGTACAGGACCTTCCGTCAGCTACCACAATTCAGTTTTCCTAAAGGAGCCTGGGGATCTTTGTCAGAGATACAAGACTTCCCTTCAACTCGGCAATCTGTTCCTAAAAAATCTACTTATAACTTTAAAAATAATTTGCCTTGAAGTTCACAAGAACACCAAGCACATTTTCCTTGGGTGGACAAATTTTATAAAAATGGTAGCTAACACTTATTTATAATGGATTCATTTAGCGTACCCTTTCTTAGACTTCAAGAAACATGAATCAGAGAGCAAAAAAACTCCCTCAGTGGACCACTGACTTCTCAAAATCCAACGGAAAAGTTTATAGACTACTAGGGACATGATAAATTCCATAAACAGAATGGTTTTATAGAGTAAAGTATATGTCCTGGCTCAGCGCCTGTGGCTCAAGTGGCTAAGGCACCAGCCACATATACCTAAGGTGGAGGGTTTGAATCCAGCCTGGGCCGGCCAAACAAAAATGACGGCTGCAACCAAAAAAATAGCCGGGCGTTGTGGCAGGTGCCTGTGGTCCCAGCTACTTGGGAGGCTGAGGCAGGAGACTTGCTTGAGCCCAGGAGTTGGAGGTTGCTGTGAGCTGTGATGCCACAGCACTCTACCTAGGAGGACAGCTTGAGGCTCTGTCTCAAAAAAAAAAAAAAAGTATATGTCTTCACATTTGTATAAAACAAGCTACATAATAAAATATAAAATAAACTTAAAAAAAAAAAGAAAAAACTACTGGCTACATAATCACTACATCCTAGAACTCTCTGGCAACCAAATGTTTTTAGCAAAATGGATTAGAGCCTCCAGGAACAGAATGGCTCTCCTTCATATCTATGGCTGACACTGATAACGGAATACCCCAGGGGCTGGGACCTTACTTCAGAATCCATCCCAATGTCAGATTTCCTTTCTGTTTCTGACCAATGGCACACGCTATTTCAGGACATGGCTAACTGAATGCATAAAGCCCAACCATTTCAAGAAACAAAGCTAAATATTTCCATTTCTAAGTAGTGATGCCAAAAACAACAACAAGCACTGTCACATAAATGATACTCAGAAGGGATTTCTACATTATTCACTTTCTGGCTACAAGTCTCTGAGTTAATAAAGAAATAAGTGGGGCTGGGGTGCAGTGGCTCACGCCTATAATCCTAGCACTCTGGGAAGTGGAGGCAGGTAGACTGCCTGAGCTCAGGAGTTTGAGACCAACCTGAGCAAGAGCGAGACCCCATTGCTATTAAAAATAGAAAAACTAGCCAGGCGTTGTGGTGGGCACCTGTATCCCAGCTACTCGAGAGGCTGAGGCAAGATCTCTTGAGCCCAAGAATTTGAGGTTGCTGTAGCTGTGACGCCTTGGAATTCTAGCCTGGGGCAACAAAGCAAGACTCTGTCTCAAAAAAGAAAAGAAAAGAAAGAAAACAAAGAGGTGCACACAAGTGGGAGTCAGAAAACTTAGGTGTAATGGGAGTGGTTTTCAAGATTTGAACAAACCTAGTAAAATCCTTGCCCACGTCTATTTTTGCTTCTCTATCACGATCATCACCACCAGAATCCAATTCCCTTTTGGCACTGGGATAGAGATGGATCCTGCTCCTTCTTCGCCCTCCTTCCACGCCCATCCACACACTCCAGTGATTCCCATGTAAGGTCACTTAGGTTGATATATTAGAGACATGACAGAAAAGCAGCAGAGGAAGAGTCTGAACACTTGGGTCCTACCCTAACCCCATCACCAGGAAGCTTCAGACCTCAGATAGTGACTCTGAACTTTAGTTTCAGTGTTGGCAAAATGAGAGCAGTGGACTAGAGTAGCGGTTGGCAAGTTTTTCTCTACAGAACCGAACAATAAATATTTTAGGCCTCGTAGGCCAAGAAAAAAACCTGAAAATATTATGTATACAACAAGAGAGAAAAAAAATCTACTTATTTTTACATGATGGAATTCAAAATACAAGGATTGAGTATAATTGTTTGTTTCATTTGGCCCACTAATGAAGAGGATGGAATTTATTCGTGGACACTGAAATTTGGATTCCATATAGCTTTCATGTGTTTTGTACAAATATTCTTTTGATGTTTTCCCCAACCATTTATCAGTATAAAAAACTTTC